GTTTTCCCCTTGTCATGAGAATTCAGGATTTACTCTTAACTTTCAAACAGACCACACAGCAGTGTTAACTATAGTCGTCACATTGTACATCACACCACCAGCACTTACTTGTCTTATAACTGGAAGTCTGTACCTTTGACCACCTTCCTCCAATCCCCCACCTCTGCCTCTGGTAACCACAAATCTGATCTCTTTTTCTCTGTTTTTTGTTTTTAGATTCCACATGTGAGATCATACAGCATTAGTCTTACTCTGTCTGATTTATTTCACTTAACATAACGCCCTCAAAGTCCATCTATGTTGTCACAAATGGCAGGATTATGGCTGAATAATATTCCCTTGTGTGTACACACCCACTCACACACACATCTTACAAGTTCTTTATTTATCCCTTGATGGACTCAGGTTGTTTCCATGTCTTGGCTATTGTAAAAAATGCTGCTATGAACGCGGGGGTGCATATATCTCCTTGACAGAGTGTTTTTGTTCCCTTTGGATATATTCCCAGAAGTGGAGTTGCTGGATCACATGGTAGTTACATTTTTTATCTTTTGAGGAACCTCCACAGTTTTCCATAGTAGCTGCACCAATTTACAGTCCCATGCACTGTGCACAAGGCTTCCCCTCCGTCTGCATCCTCTCCAGCATTTGTTACCTCTCGTCTTTTTGATGTAGTTATTCTGACAGGTGTGAGGTGATACCTCACTGTGGTTTTGACTGGCATTTCCCTAATGACATGTGATCTTGAGCATCTTTTCATGTATCCCTTGGCCATTTGGTATCTTCTTTGGAGAAATGTCTGTTCAGGTCCTTTGCTTATTTTATTTTAATTTTTCTGCCCATTTTAATTAGATTATTATTATTGCTATTGAGTTACGTGAGTTCTTTATATATTTGGGGCATTTATTTCCTATCAGATATATGATTTGCAAGAATGTTTCCCATTCTATAGGTTGTCCTTTCATTTTGGTGACTGTGCCTTTGCTGTGCAGAAGCTTTTTAGTTTGCTGTATTTCCACTTCTCTTGTTGCTTGTGCTTTAGGTGTCCTATCCAAAAAATCATTGTCAAGGCCCATGTGAAGGAGCTCTTTCCTATGTTTCCTTCTAGGAGTTTTATAGTTTCCGGTCTTACATTTAAGTACTTAATACGTTTTGAGTTGATTTTTGTGCGTGGTGTAAGGTAGGGATCTACACTGGGCATTTTAATAGATTTTTAAACTGAATATATGAATGGGTAAAGGGATAAATGAGGCCCTAGAGAGAACACTGAAAATAAGAGATCCGTTTGCCAAGACAGACTCCTGGCAGGCAGCCCAGTGGGTTCAGGTGTCAGCCAAGGACAAACAGAGAGGACAAATGTGTGCCCGGTGTGGGGGCTAGGAGTCAGAGCACGCTGGAGGAGACAGTGGGCAATGGGCCTACTTCTTTGTTCATTCAACAGATGTGATGAACCACCTACCCTGTGGTGGACCCCAGGCACCTGGGATTTACCAGCAGCAAACATGAGTCCCCCTGCCCTCTGGAAGCTGACACCCAAGGCATTATGTGCGAGAGCAGCAGGGGGCCCTGGGGACCCTGGACGATGCATCCCTGTAGCTGCATCTTCCTGCTAATGCGCTTCTACTACTACTAACTACAGTCACAGCAGCAACACTTACAGGGAACCAAGTGTCTTAGTCAAGATCATTTCAGTTTTAATAGAAACTCAACTTGAACCGGCTTAAGCAAATAAAAAAGACATGTTTGGTTTATGTATTAATTTCTAAAAATACCAGGGGCTCACTAGATTCTGGCATGACTGGGTCCAAGGGCTCCGAAGATATCATCGGACTCTGTATCCGGCCCCATCTCGTGGCTCTGCTTTCTCCAGCTTCACATTGCTGACTTCATTCCCAAACGGCCACACAGTAAGAATGGCCTCTGGTAGCTCCAGGCTAACGATCTCAGCAAAGAGGAAGCACCTCTTTCCTTACTGCTCTGCAAACTTCAGAGCACTGTTAGAGGGACCCGTCCAACTTCGGTCTGATGCCCAGGCCTGAGCCAGTCCTTGCAGTCAACACTGGGATGTGCTGATTGGCCGGGGTCTGGCGGTAGGGGTGGGAAAGGGGGCAGGGATAGGGGACAGGGACTGAGAATGAAGGGAGGTGGTCTCCAAAAGAGAGCAGGGCTGTCACTTGCTCGGCAAAGCCCCACACCTCCTAGGCTCAGGCACAAGGCCAAGTGTCAGTTGAGCCTCCCAGCAGTCCTGGGTGGTGAGGCCATTCTGATCCCCACTTACAGGTGCAGGAACTGGCTCAGGGAGGCTGAGTACCTTGCCAGGGTCGCACACCTAGTAAGTAGAGGGTCAAGGAGCGTGGATTCTTTTGTACCAGACAGAGGAGTTAGTGGGGAGGCTCTGAAGCACGGCAGGAGGTGTGTGTGTGGGGGGGTGTCACTGATTCAACCTAGTGAGCGGAGGGGGAGATAAATGGGAATAATCTGATGAGTGCGGCACTACCCTTGTCCCCCAGCCCCACGGCAATGACATTTCTCCTGTTCACCGTTCACTGAAGCAGGCGATGCAGACCCAGGAGCCAGGCTGCCCGGCGCCCCTAGAAAACACACAGCCTTTGGCAGGGGATTGAGTGCCGACGCTAACTTGGAGGCGGAATTCCAGGGCAGCGAGGGAAAAGGGGGGGGAGCAACGCAAGATGATGTATAACCGCACTGCCACTGCGTTACAACAAACCGCAGATGGAAAACGTGCCTCAAAGGGTCCAAGGCGGGGAGAAGGAATATCGTCCTCCCACCTGTCTCCTCCTGCTCAAAGGTCGTCCCCAGAGCTAACTCCCTCCACGCTCGGGGTTGAGTTCTCCAGCCCCCTCACACCGGGGCGCGGTCAGGGAGGGATCAGCTGCTGGAAGGCAGCTGGTCAGCTTCCACTGTGGGCCTGTGAGGACCCACAGAGTCCTTTACCCACAGAGGCAGAGCAAACAGGAGTCTGATGGACGGGGGAGCTGAGAGAATCTTCAGGACACAAGATGTGACACACTCACATTGTAGCTCTGTGACTTGACTTCTCCATGCCCCAGTTTCTCTGAGTAAAATGGGAATACCAGTACGTCCCCTAGAGTTGCTCAGAGGATTTGAGATAACTCATGCAAAGCACTGTCTGGCCCCTAGGCGGTCAACTGGGCTGGCCGTCTTGATTGTGCCTGGAGGAACTCGGGGTGCTGTCCTGGCTGAGCTACATTAGCCTGGACTCTTTCCATTGCAACGTGGCTCATATGAAGGAAAGGATGTATTGGCTCACAGAACTGGAAGGCCTGGAGGTGATGGCTTCAGCACAACTAGACCCAGGGGTCACTCAATCCCAAGGGATGTGGACCACGGTGAGCTCACTACATGAGCTTTGGGAAAACACTCCCACCTCCAAGGGCTGGCCTGAGCAGAAAGAAGACCGAGAAGGTCTGGCTGAAGCACCTGTGAAATGAGAAGCTGGGTCTAAATTGGGGGTTACCAATTTGACATCCTCTGGACTTCTAGGATGGGTCCATGATTTGTTGGTCCCAAGGAAAAAAAACCAACCCAAAAAGCAGATCTCCATTTTTTGGCGAGATCTCAACTCATACAAGCTTGCTCATAGTGATTGTCAGCTCAGACACGTAGTTCGTCTTTACAAGTTTAAGAAATACATTTGGGGAAGTGGATTGTGGCTTCACGAATGCAGTATGTTTAGAAGATGTAATCTTTCAACCCGCAGTATCCACAGGGGAAAAACAACTGACATCAGTCCAGGGAGGTGAAAAGGTGAGGACCATGGCTACAGCTCATCTAGACAGTCCTTCCCAGCAACCACATTCTTGGATACCAGGATTTGAGGAGCTCCCTCCCCAAGCAGTCCCTGGAGGCCCTTTATTAAGGAACCCAAATACCATGCTCCATTTCTCCAGCCACATAATTGTCCTTACTGTGTTCCTGATGTAAGCCCCAGGGCTTATCAGCTGTGTGACCTTAGACAAGTCATTCTACCTCTCTGAACCTGTTGCCTCAACTATAAAATGAGACTGGTGTCTAGACACAAAAATCAAAACATGCCCACACAAAAGACTTGTATGTGAATATTAAATCAGCTTTATTTGAAACAGCCCAAATGTTCATCTGATAAATGAGTAAACAAACTGGCACATCCATACAATAGAACATTACTTGGCAATAAAAAGGACTGAACTGTGCACGCAACATGAATACATCTCCAAACCATGTTGACTAAAAGAAGCCAGACACAAAAGAGCACACTATATGATATTTATATGAAGTTGTAGAAAAGGGAAAATGAATCTCTAGAACAAAGGTAGGTCAGTGGTTGGCTGAGGTTAGAGGAAGGAGGGAACTTGAATTAGTCTTGGTGGTGGTGGTAGTTGCAGGGGTGTACATGTCTGACAAAACTTATGAATTGGACACTTAAAATGGGTGGAATCTATTGCATGTAAAGGATACCTCAAAGCTGACTTTTTAAAAATGAGATCAAAGGAAAACATTGCCTTTATTAGGACCCTTTCTAAGACAGAAACCCAACTCCGGGTAGTGTTGGGGAAAAAACTGCATTGGCTCATATAATCAGGTCAGTCCAGAGGTGCAGCTGGCTTCAGGTATGGCTCAATCCAGGGGCTTACTGATGTCTGGACAGTGGGTGCACTCGCCTTCTCTTAGCTCTCTTTACTCCTTGTTGGCTTTATCTTCAAGTAGAGAACAGGGTGGCCACCAGTAGTTCCAAGCTTGGCAACTTCTGTCAACTTGGCAACTCCACAAAAAATGAATGCCTCTTTCCTCGCAGATGCTGTAAAAGTCCCAAGGGTGAGTCTCAGTGTCCATCCTGGGAAACATGCCTCTAAAGCTAGGGGGTGAGATTGGCCCCACCTGAACCCCAAGGGTTCAAGGTAGGAGAGGGGTGGTCCCCTGAAGGTATTATCAGAAGGGCCATGGATGCTGGGAAGGAAAAGCCACCCAACAGCTAGCACCTCTCTCCACATACCCGGGGCAATGCCATCACCTATTCCTACCTCCAGACACGCCTCTGCAGTGGCCAGGTCATCAGGGATAGGGCTCCAAATGCATTCGAGGTCCAAGGCTGCCTTTCTGCGATGACACAGGGCTCTTTGCCTGTTAGATACAAGAGTCAAAACAGAAATCAAGTGCTAATCTCTTCCCCACCAGCCAAGCCAAACAGAAAGCCCTCCTGCCTGTGCTGGGCTGTCTGCACCCTGAGGAGGTGGGTGGGGGGGGAGGGGGTGAACTCTGTAGCGGCTACTCTGGCCCAGAGGCAATGCCTTAAAACGGAGCAGCCGGACTTGTAGGATGAACCTTGAGGGGGCAAAGGATGCCTCCCCCTGGGCCAGACCAGCAGGGAATGCAGGGCAAAAGGGTGAGGAATATAGCTTCTCAACCCAGACCCACCATCCTGACAGGGTCTGGCCAGGGCAGGAGGGCCAGAGAGAAAACTGACGAAAGGTGGTCCCTGCAGAGATCAAGGACAGGAAGGTACCATCCAACACCCTGGAACTCAAACCTCACTTCCTGAGCTGTGCAGTGCAACTAGCGTTAAAAGAGCATCTTCTCCATGCCAGACACCACCCCGAGTTCTCTGCTGAAGGGGAGGGGAAGGGAGTGACTTCATATCTATAGTCAGAATCAGCCTACAACAGAGACACCTTCCCTCGGGGCACTACTGTGCCCAAACAAACGAGGCAACAGGCTCAAAGAGATGGGGGCTTTACCTAGGGCCCTAGCTAAGTAGCTGCCCTTGGTCAGACTCCTGGGCAAAGGCTTGTCTCCCTGCCCTACCCCAATTCCAGGAGCTCAAAGCTCTTGGCTCAGTCTGACTGCTCAAGGCTGCGAGATGAGCTGAGATTATTTCTGATGTAGGTAAGCAAGGCAGTTTAGGACTATCTCCCGATCAGCTCCCCAAGGGATATGGACAAGAGAAGCAGGAACTGAGGCCTGCCGCCCTGTTTTCCATCACGGGGCTGGCGGAGTCGGCCTGCCCGGTCATCCTGCTTTCTGGGAAGCAGGTTAAATGGGTGTCGTTGCCAAGAGTGTATGCTCTGCCGCAAAAAGCTGGGCGGGGAGCAGGGCGAGAGCCAGACAGAGGAAGGAGAGAGCCAAGGCCCAGCGAGGGAAGGTGGTGGCCAACGCCTGGGCCCTCCCTGCCAAAGGAAGCCCGTGGGCCTGGCTCACAGCCGCTGGGCTTTGGGAAAATGGTGTTCTCAGCTCTCAACTGCCATCTCTGCCCTCCATGTCTAAGGCAGGCTGGCCCTCCGGCCCTACAGACTGGCCGGGGGAGCAGCCAACCACTTCCTGGGGCTGACAATGTGCCTGCCCATTAGTTCCCTACACTGGCATGCTGCCCAGCTGCCCCTCAGGCCAGGTCCTTGGAGTCCAGCTCTGTAGGAAAGAGGGAGGGGTAGGGACAGCCTTATGCAGACCTAGGCACCTCAGCAGGGGTCCTGATCCTGAGGGCCACCAGCTTGGAGCAGGGCCCAGATGAGCAGGAAAATCAGTGGCCCCCTGCCACCCACAGCTGTGGGACCTGGGCCACACGCCTCTTGCATGTTCTGAAAATGGGGCTAAATCCTGCCCTCCCCAGAGCTGGGATCATTGGCAATGCAGAAGGCTGAGGGTCCAGGAGCACATTCAGCACTGGGGAAACTGAGGGACAACAACCCAGACCCCCTGTGGGGCAGATACCTTCTCTAGGAGAGAGTAGCACCCACCCACCTCAAGTATTTCATCATCACAGTAACCTCAGTATTAGTAAGCATTGTGATATTATAATTACATGAGCTAATTACAAATAATAATTACTGAAAGACCACTGACCTTGGTAGTCAGGAGCCACAGATCTAAACCCCAGCTCCGCCACGTCCTAGCTGTGTGCCCTCCGGTAAGTCTCCTGATCTCCTTGGCCTCGGTCCTCCTGCTGTAAAATGAGGATCTAAGGATGACTCTGAGCAGCAGAGAAAATAAAGGGAGTGAAAATCTGCCAACTGCAAATAGTCACATCGCCTGATCAGGCTCCGAAGGCAGAGCTGGAGGAAACCTCTCCCGTCTCTAACTTGTGGGCATACAGTGGATAGTTCTCTGCCTGCTTCAACAGAATCAGCTGAGGAACATCAGAAAAACAAACACAGATAATCCCAGCAGCCCCAACAATTCAGATCCAAGTGGCCTGGGGTGGGGCCCAGGCTGTGGAGATTTTTTAACACTCCCAGGGATTCTTAGGTGACCTTGGTGGACAAGCAATGCAGTAGCCCACTTAGAAAATCAATCAGGACGTAGCCCGCATTTCTAGCTTCCTCCATCTGTTTGGGGAGAGATGCAGTGTGCTGCTGTAAGGTCTCTGAGCTCCCTGGCTGGAGGCGAGCTTCAGACCATGGTCCATCCACTTGGCAAAAAGAAAATAGAGACTTTCTGGCTCCCGAGGGCAGAGAGCCATCACTCAAATGGGTTTCGAGCCTCGCCCATTTTAAAAGCCCCAATCCTGCTACCTGGATGGGGTGGGGGTGGGGGTGGGTTCATGCACAGGGAAGAAATGCTGGGAGAATATATTTCATTAGCAGACATTATCCGCACCTCTGAGCATTTATGAGCCCTACCATACTTTTGGTATTTTCTAAATGCTCTATAGTGCAAGGCAGTTCTTTTATATCTTGGGAGAAACAGTACTGTTTTATTTTTGATGTATTGCCTTTTTAAACATTGATATAGTGCCTTCTGAAAATGTTTTGGGGGTAGAGACTGAGGAACATGCTCAGGAACGAGGAGTTTTGCAGGGGAGGGAAGGGCAGGGCAAAGGGGCCTTAGGAACAGCTGGCTTGAAAGTAGCAAATGCTGCGCTGATGAGAAGGGAACTTGTTGTATCGCCCCGTGCCCGCTGTCAGTCGTGGGAATCTCATGCCACGGAGCTCCACCCTCCTACCAAGGAGGGACGAACATCACTCCCCCTCAGCCCCCTCATGACTTTACCTTGGAGCTGCCCCTTCCCTTGGGCAGAAAAACGGCGAGGATCGGGTGCAAACCCAGTCCCTTAGACATGGGCTCCGGGAGAGCTGGTGTGGAGCAGGCTCAGAGGGCCAGAGCCCAGGCAGCAAGGGGCCTGGCTGGCCAGGACTGAGGATCAGGGTTCCACAGACGGTCATCTTCTTGAGTGATGAGAGCTTTCGAGTCAGAACCTGGGAGGGAACCTGAGCAATAACTGGAGTTTGAATTTCCCCTGCTGACCTGTGAGATCAACGGGACCACAGATGGGTCTTGCAGCCTCATCTGTCTGTCCATAGGCAGGCCACGGCTCAGCCTCAGCTAGCAAGGAAGATTCTGTTGCTGTGGGATATGGTGACATTAAAAATCAATAAAAACATTTTGAGAGAAAGAGCGATTGTCTACCTCAGGTACACACCCCGACCAGGGATCGAACCTGCAACCTGGGTATGTGCTTTGAATGGGAATCAAACCAGCAGCCTTTCGGTGCCAGGACAACGCTCAACCAACTGAGCCAGGGCAGATTTGGTGACATTCTTGTGGACTGGTGTTCTTGGGTTAAGGGGTGGGTATGTCACAAATTGGTAATTTGGCTTCTTAACAATCCCCCAAGAATCCCAAATCCACCAAAGATAAAGCCTTGGCTTAGCCACTGTATCTGTGGGGTGGGGATAGAAAAGGTAGGGACACCTGCTGAGAATGGAGGAGACTCAGGAAGTGAAATAGGGATAGAAAACACCCAGCAAGCTCCAGGGTCACAGCAGGGGGTTGGGGGATTG